GTGTGTGTGTGTGTGTGTGTGTGCACAGACGTGGAGCCAACATGCCATTAAGAACATGATGGACTCACTCGAGTGGGTAACATGTGCTGAAAGCTATCTGCCTATCTTAGATTTAGAGGAAGCAAGACTAGGTATACACACTGCACCACAAGGATGCTGAGGTCTGCAGCCTTCTGCTAGCTAAGAGGACCCCTAGTCCCCAACACCAATGTCCATACCCTTGTTGGAAAAAAACAGCAGAAGCAACCAGAATAGAGGAAAGAGTGGATTCTAATCTCCCCTGACCTGCACATGCATCATAAGGCAGGTTAGGACAGACAGATGTAGTATTTTTTTTATTAATTTTCATGAAAGTTTACAGAGACTTACGGTTTCCATTTATTCATTCCTGCACTTTTCTCTCTGTTCATCCCCTACCTCCCAATTCATTCTACTCCTTGAAAAGTAAAGGAAAAACTCTTTCGTTGTTATACAATCCCTCCCCTCAAGTCCACTCCACTGTGCAGCCTTCATTCTGGACTCCTGTCATGACAATAATACCCAATCATATATTCCTTTTAAACAGTTCTCTCCTTCATCTGTTGCAATGCAGTATACGTCATTCCTCCCCTCCTTCTCTGTCTTCCCTCAATCCCGATGTCAGTCCCGTTTTACCACAGAGGCCCTATGCAATATTTGTCCTTTTGTGACTGAGATATTTCACTCAGCATAATGTCCTCCAGGGTCACCCATTTTTCTATAATATCTCATAAATTCCTTGTTTTTCAAGGATGTAGTATTTTTAGAAAAGGGATAATCTAAGGGGATGTTCATTGAAGGTTACTCTACAGTGAATACTGGTGCTTCCCAGGAACCATCAAATGACTTACATGTTACCATCTCAATTAGTGTACAACGTTCCAATCCTCCTGCCGCCAACACTCACCTTCAAGTGCAAGCGTCACACACTTGAGCACAATGATACTGTCGCCGAGTTTGGTGTCAAGTGAACTATGACTCCTCACAACCCTCTGAACAACCAATGGAACTTTGTCCTGAATTGTGCCATCCTCACAATCTCCGCCCAGCTCACCAAGCCTGCTGCCAGAGTCACTGGGTCCATGCTTCTCCTCGAGGGTCTCCTTCTCTTTCCCTGACCCTCGGCCTTTCTCTGTGTGGTGTCCTTTTCCCAAGGACTGCTGCCATTTGGTAACATCTCCAAAGTATGTGAGATGAAATGTCACCATCCTTGCCTCTGAGAAGCACCTGGTTACACTCCCTCCAGGACAGATGTGTTCACAGGGTGGCTGTGAGCGGCAGCTGACTCGACGGCACCCTCACCTCCTTGCGAGTTGGCCATCAGAGCAGCAGAAATAATTAGCAGATAACGAAGACTTTGTGAGGGGTCTCTGGAGGCCCGGTGGTAAGAAGCTGTGCTGCCAACGCGGAGGTGGTGGTGGTGGATGTTGTTAGACACCATCAAGTCGAGCATGACTCATAACAACCCCATGGACAATGGATCTGAACTTGCCCCGTCCTCTGCCAACACCACAAACTAAAGCCAGGTGCTTTGAATACACCAGTTGTTCCCTGGGGTAAAGGTGGACCATCTCCTCCTGTGTGATTTAACACCTCCAAAAACACGCTGCAGGGTCAGCCATGAGTTGGTTCTGACTTGACAGCGAGAAACAACAACCAGAGAAGGTTGTGAGTGGTTTAGAGTACTTTTAGAAATCAACAAAACGTGAGGTCAGCCTGTTAACTACATAGGATCATAATGGAGGCGAGCATTAACTGTTAGTGACGAGGTAGTCATAGAATGAGAAGTGACGTATCTAACGCTTTGTTACTGGATAGGGAGAAGTAGTGAGGTGAATGCATCACTTGAGAACTACGACATCAGCAAGGTGTATTCAATACAGATGAAACAAACTGACTGAAAGAGAACAAGCAGAGAGAAAATAGTACCTTTTTTTCATCAGTGAGAAGTCAATAAAATAGCAGAAGTTTACCCTGTAGAGGTTCTTAAGTGGCAGAGAGGGAACTCTGGTGGCCTAGTGGTAAGAGGCTGTATTGCCAATCTGAGGGTATGCAGTCCAAATCCACCAACAATTCTGGAGGAGAAAAACAGGCGTCCCCTCCTGTCTCATTTATAACCACTGAAAATCCATGGGAGCAGGGTGGTGTCAGCTAAGAGTCAGTTCTGACTCGATGGCATACAACAACAGCAACAAGTGTTAGGGAGTCCCCTGATAAACTGTTAACAACTGGCTGCTCACTAAAAGGTCCAAGTCTGCCCAGAGATGTTCTGGAAGAGAGGTCTGGGGGTCTAGTTGTGACAAGTCAGCCCACGGAGCACAGTTCTTCTTGGACGCCCCTGTGGGCACCACCTGAAGGCATCTCTTCGCTTTTACCTCACAGTGGGCTGCAGCGGATGGTGCCCAGCTTGTGCCCATGCCTTGGCCCCCCTTTGCTGGTTCTGGACACCCGTCCTCAAGCTCACACCTGCAGCTCTTCTGAGCACAGCCTGTAGCTTCTCTGCCCCAGCTCTCAGAAGGCTGAGTCCTGAAAGCTTAAGTTCTAGTGACCCGGAACCATCAGAGGGCAGGTACCAAGGGACTGGAGACCCTTTAATGTTTTGCCTCCACGTGGAACAAACTCTGTATGCCCCAGAGCCCCTCAGAGTTGGCGTAAGTCTGCGCTTCACCCAAAATCGCATGGTTTTGAGTTCTTCACTAACATGCTTTTTATTTTCTTACTGGGATTTCCTTGACACATGGCCATAATCAATTGGAAATGAATGCTTTTCTTGGGGTCTGCTCTGGGCAAGCAGATCTAAGACAGAAGTGAACCAACAAACCCTTCCGAGCTTTTCTTTCCATAAGGGTAGTGAGTGTTCTTTTTGGCTGTCAGAGGGGTCACCACCCTACCCTTTGCAGGAAGACCAAGAGCGAGCAAAGCCTTCTGCAAGGCCGTCTCACATCCTGCCTGTACCAATCTCTTCCTGGTAAATCCAGCCCCTTTGTGCTGTCCTCTGCGTGTGTCCCTCTACGTGGACTCCTTGTGCTTTCTATGATTGTTCTAGACTCTTTTGTTTACATCATGAAGCAGGGAGCCATCTCAAGAAACAATACCTTTCATATCAATATAGGAAGGGAGTGAAATAAAAGACACCAGAAAAGGAGCTCTGGTGGCGCAGCACATAACATGATGGGCTGTTAACCAGAAGGTTCCCTGTTCAAATCCATGGCTCTTCCATGGGAGAGGGATGGGCAGTCTCGTCCCATGAAGATTCGCAGCCTTGGGAACTGGATGGAGGGTTATTAAGAGTTGTAATCAACTTGACAGTTTGGAGAGTGAGACATAGGTGGAGAAAACATTTGAGGCTGTCACAAAATATTGCCACTGATTACACCTTGTGCAACTTTATCTGGTGTATACATTTTCTGGCTCAAATTTAGGAAACCAGCTGAAATCCAGATGAGCAGCTAAAGTTCACTGTCATTGAAAAGAAAATATTCCTCTATTTCAGATAAGAACCCCAAGAACTAAAATGTTAATAAGATAAAGATTTTCATTTAAATAAATTTTGTTCATGAATAATTTCAATTCATTGACATAGTATCAACTCATCCTGGTTCTTTGACCTGTACAAAAATCTAGCCAGTGTCCAATTCATGCCTCTTGACTCACTCATTCACTGACTCATTCATGCAATCATTCCACTGGGTGCTAGCAATTTATTAAGGAATAAGTCTCTGTTATCAAGCAGCTTCCTGTCTTCTTGTTGTTCTGTCCAGTAGAGTTGGAATTGACCCATAACTGACTCTCTGGCAGGTTTTCAGAGGGATTTAATTGCACAGGAAGAGAATGCCTATCCTTCTACCACAGAGCAGCTGGTGGCCTCGAACCGTGTCCCTTTGGGATTGTAGAACAGCTTCTTGCCACTAGGCCACCAGAGAGCTCTGTACGCTTACAGTCTAATTGTTCAAGTAATTAGGAGATTACAATTGTGAAGTGTGCTCTGAAGAGAAAGATCCAGGATGCTAAGACAGCCCATCAGGAGGGCGCTAAGCTACTGTGACTGGTGAAAACTCATCTTGTGGCTCTGGAGTCAGTTCCAACTCATCCTGGTCCGGCACCTGGTTTCCGAGGCTGTGAGCTGTAATGAGGGGAGAGTTCTCCTCTCTCTCCCTCTGTCTCTCTCTGTCTCTGTCTCTCCGTCTCTCTCTCTCTCCGTCTCTCTCTCTCTCTCTCAGCTGCTGGTGGTTTCCAAGTCCTGTATATGTGTGGCCTTTGGGCTAGCATCACAACTCACTACAGACTCTATCGTCAGAACTCTTTGTGGACAGAGAAAGGGATCTCAAATCTCCATTTAAGCTGAGAGCAGGCCGATGAGCAGAAGCTGGCTGAACTTCAGTGTGAGAGGCCAGAGAAGGCTGGGGCTCAAGCAGGGTGCAGGTGGGGAGTAATGGGGTGTCAGTCGCTCATGGTGAGGACCAGGAAGCTCAGGTGGCCAAGGTGTAAGAAGCAGCAGCAGCATCCCAAAGCCATGTGGTTCGAATCCACCAGCTGCTCCGTGAGAGAA